ATGTCGTTCTTCGCCCATCCAGCCGCCATGAGACCCGCCATCGTCTCCATGTCGATCTCCTGATCGAACTTCGCAGCAAAGATCTGCAGTCTCGGCTTTCGTGCTTTCCGATCCTCCGATCTGATGCACTCGGGGATCATTTGGAATTTGTCGCTCTTCTTGTACCGATCCTGCGGGAACGCGCTCTCGCGACTCAGGATGTGGTCGATGTTCACCCATCCTCCGCCACTGCACTCTGTTCTGCATGTTCATTTTGAAGTGCAATCCCTTCGGCAGCGTGCTGGTCATAATATCCTTGTATCCCTTCGCAAACTGCCTCATCACCGGGTTGAGGAATCATAGAGGGGCTTGCCCCACCAAACGAATCGAGCATGTGGTTGTACTCCTTCATGGTTCCGTTCGGATTCGTGTGTAGGTCAAGTCATGGAGTTCTCCTCCTTCTGCCAAATCAGCCATCTCGGAGATCGGAGAGGTTCACGCTTGTGGAACTCCTTCCTCGGATAGAAGATCGGCTCCTCCGTTTCCGGTTGATGCGGTTTATCATGCGGTTCGCTGGACATCGGAGCCATTTCTTCATCATCATCATCATCAGGAACCTCCATTTCGATGTCTTCATCGGATGAGGGATGTCCTTCTGGAAGAAACAGCATTGTGATTTTGCCACGTGCCGGGTCAGACTCAGTTGCCCTTGCGGTGTCTTTGCATGCCCCTTCATGGGATTCTTTCCCGCGCTTCATGCAAATCTGTAGTTCGCCAGCGCGATCGCAAAGATCCTCAAACATCCGCAACAATTCTGCTCGTCTTGAGGCGATGTCCTCGACTCTCGATTGTTTGGCTTCAGGATCCTCGGCATCATCGGGTTCACGACCACGATCAGCCTCGTCCTCATCGGACTTGCCTGCTTTGCTTTTGGCCTGATGAACCGGCTTCCTCGATATCGATGAACGGGTTCGAGTACTCCAGTCTGTCCATGATGTCCCTGACGGTCTTGCTGGGAACTTCCATGTACTTGACTGTGCCGCTTCTCTTCCTGTTGAGGCCCGTCATGTGTGCTGTCATGGAACGTGGCTTCCAGCATTGGTCGGTATTGGCAAACGTTCCACTTTGGCAATTCCTTCCCGAAGTAGGATATGACGTCGAAAAAAACCCGAGAACGGTCTCCAGTCCATCTCCCAACTTCTCTTCATTGTCGGTGGAGAAAACACGGTATGCCTGTTCTTGACCCATGAACCAACGCATCCACGAGGCGTATACAGCGTTTCCATAGTCGCGCCATACACGGAATTTGGTCCTCTTCTCCTTCGTTCCATCGGAATGGGTGACGATGTACGACAGCTTGTCAACCCACAGTTGCTTCCCATTGCTACTGCGGAAGTAGTCTGCAAAAGAGTCCTTATCGAGCGTGATGCCACCGATTTGCGACAGCTCTTTCGCGAACTTCTTGTTGAACAGACTCACGAAGAGGTGTTGCACGAATGTTTCCATATCCCCATCGAAAACGCTTTCAAGCTCGTTGATGTCACCGAGCACCAGGCTGCATTCAGCAAATAATATTTTCATGATGTTGGGGCGGTCAGCTTCCTTCTGCATGGTATTCTGCTCGATCAGCCCGTTCGCGTGGCAGTTGATACATGTGTCCGCATTGTACTGATGGTCGGCCGTGGATTGAGCTCCTTCTGCGTGACATTGTGCGCAAAGGAAATCCGCAACATCTTCGAAGTAGTACCACTTCGATCGCATGTCGTCGCCGTCCCCCTTGCCGAACGCTTTGCCTTCTCTTCGTTGCTCTTCATGATACTTCTTCTGCTTGTTGAAGTGAGCAGTGAAGTCCGGCTTGTAGTGATAGCGGACGTTACCGCCTGTTGCGCCCTGAGGTACATTGAATTGCAGCGGGGACACGCTCACACATGCATCTTCCAGGTCGGACACCGTTTGTGCGTCCAGCGTGAGCACATCCATGATCATCTCGACGATCAGCTTCTTTTGCAACACGTAGAAGAGCTTGGAATCTCCGGTGCAGCTATAGTTGCAATCCGTCAATCCAGATACTTGCTTCCAAACGAGATCGTTGTCGGTGATCACGACGCCCGCGTTCGCGCACACTTCCATCACTTTCGTTGCGGTCAGCATCAGGTTGCCAGTGCTCGGATGGAATTCTGGGTGGTTGTTGATACTCACGAATACTCCACCGCCGCATATTCTTGAAAGTTCACTCAGAACTTCGAGCAGGCCGTTGTACTCGTAGTTGGTGTTGATCTTCCACTCGAAACCTTGCTTTTGGATGCAGTCAGACAATGACATCCAAATGTACCGAGCAGTTTGCAACGGATTGCTTCCATCTGCCGCCGCCCTTGATCGTGTTGATCAGTCCTCTGATGCGAGCAACAAGTGGTGTGTTTGTACCACGTCTCATATCGTCGGATGCGTAGTAGGACATCTCGATGACATTGTTCCATCCATTGTCGTGCATGTGGGATTGGAACGTCCTGATGTGTTTCCCAGTTTTCTGCCTCAATGGCCAATCAAGGATCACGTAGGACTTGGTCGCTGTCGCGACATTGCACAATTGCTGGCATGTGAGTTCGACCTTCATCGGCATTGTGCCTTTTGATGATCATCGAAATTCCAGCATTGGCCGTGTCGGGATTGACATGACCGTCAATGAGAGCCTTCAACGCAGTTGCTCCAGGTAGCTTTGCAGAATAGAGACATCCCGTCTTTGCGCAAATGTATGCGTAGAGTTGAGCCAGGCGAGGTTGGGCTTGTTGAGGTAGGCAGCGATGATGCGGTCAGCTTTTCTCCTCTCGTCGAAGATGAGCAATGTTGACACCAAAGGCCGCAAATACCGTTCCCAGTAAGATGCGTTCTTCCCCGCTTTGACTTCTGGTCCAAACTTTGTGATGGGCATGACGACTCCAGATTTTCTGTGGACCCCAATGTTGAGGTTGCCGAAAGCGGTGCGCTGCTCGATGATGGTTACTGATTCGTTCACATCATGCTTCTCCGGCATGATCCATCGGGCGTCTTCCCCTTTTGCGGAAATCTCCAGGATCGCTTGGATGGTCGCGTTGACAACCGTTCCGTCATCCTGCTCTTTTCCCGGCGGCCGCCATGTGGACCACCACGGTGCACGACCAGTGGGGTCATCGCTGGAGCTCGCGCCAGGCTGCTCGCTTCCGGCGCTGGGTTTCGGCATTGCCTTGGGCTCTGGCGCAGGTTGGGCTTCCCCTGATCCTAGACATGCGTATGAACGTGTTTTAGGGGGTCGTGTGTTTCGGGGGAAAATGGCCGTGAAACCGCCCAATGGCCGTGAAAGCGGTGTCCGGCCAGACATGGCCGTGAAAAACCGTGAAATTTCGTGAAATGGCCGTGAAATCCCCGCAAAAGGCCGTGAAATCCCGTGAAAATCCGTGAAATTTCGTGAAATTTTGTGAAGCACGCAAATGGCCGTGAAAACCCCGAATGGCCGTGAAATCCTTTTTTCAGGGTCGAGAGACAAATGACCGCCTAAAACGTGATCAAATGCATGTCCAGGATATCCTCCACCATGCCGGTACTCCTTCTTCGAAGTCTTCGTCGAAGATGTCGATGAACTTCTTGGTGCTATCTCTGGAGTACAGCAAATTGTTGATGAAGGCCCGCTGTTGCTGTTCATCTGCAGTCTGGTTGTCCTGCAGCACGATGAACGATTCCCACGTTAAGCGATTCGCTTCTTCCTTGGTACGATCTTCGCCACGCGGTGCAACGGAAAGGACGTACATGTTGATGGCAGGCAGCTTCATTTCCCAGGCTTTGGCCATGACAGGGAACACCTTATTGGGATTGTTGAGCTGGTCTTGTCGCCGCCAACGTACCCCATTCTCTCACGATCATTGCCCCCAAAGATCTCTCAGTCTTGCATGTAGGAATAAGACGCATCCCATAGCAATAGACGCAGCGAACAAGGCATCGGGGATAGTGGGGATCATCTTGATCTTCCCGGTGTCGGTGTCGATAATGAAGCTGATGACGATCTCTTCTTTTCTCCGTCCTTGGACCACACGGCATGACCCAACTTCTTTCCAGGATGAATGTGATAGGTCATGGCTGATACCAGAACTTGCACTTTGTTGGGTGTCCGGAGAGTCTGCAATCGCCGGCACTGCAAGCATACCTGTGGAACCGCTGGAACTATCATTTCCGAATGTTGCAGTTCCCGGGCTTCCGGAAGAATCCATTGTACGGCTGTAAATATATTTCAAAAGGTTGTATTGCACCGCAGTTGCAATCCACCGCAGGGACCAATTTTGAACTTACGGCTGATAACCTGCCAGGAGGCGGAGTCAAATGACAGGGCAGTTGTCCCGTGGGTGGTAAAAGCGGGTTGTAAGGTACATGATCTGCGTCGTCTCACGACTCGATGCGACCGCGGAATACGAACCCTTTTGCTTTGCTTCACAGCTGTGTTTGGATGTTTGCCTCGATTCTGTTATCAAGGTCTTGAGCCAGATGCATTCGCATGTACATGTCGGCTGCACACAAAACACAATTCCCTCAAAGGTTTAGGACCTTAAACAAGGGGAAGTAACAGGGTGACCCTCAGAACCTGCCCTTAGGATGTTTTAGCCTGCGGCTCGGAGATTCTTAGCACAAATAAACATGAATCAGTCAATGAACTTCGATTCTGTAAAATTCTTGTTTAGCAGAATGATTTTTACACAAATGAACTAAACCACAAAAAAGAGAAAGAAGAGGGAAAGAGAAGGAGAAACAGAAACATGTAACATGAACGAACCAGCGAAAGAGCAAGAAGAAACATAATGACAAAAAAAGAGCAAAGAGGAAAGACAGAAGAAAAAAGAAAGAGCGAGAAAAGAAGTTGAAGGAAATAGAGAGAGGGAGAGAGTGAAGGGACAAGACGAAGAACAAGTTGGCTGTGGAAACGTTCGCTTTGTAGAACCCTTCATATGCTTCCGGGAAAAACAACACATAGCCGTACCAAACCCAATGCCCCCAGTCACATGGGCATAGCTGGAGCAGGTGAGAGAAGTTCAGGCGGTGCAGGGTTTGTCTCAGCTGGCTGAGCTGCCAAAAGGGAGGGACAGGCCTCAGGGCCAGCGGCGTTCTTTCAAGATCAAGTGCGAACCAACAAATTGTTCACCGTACCCCTGGGCCATACCACTTAAACCTCAATTCACGAATAGATAAGCAGAGGTCAGCATAAATCGAAGGCTGGATTGCCACGTTTCTGCTTAGGGTTCTGGTCTGGAGTCTGTGAGGAAAAGTTGGAGCTAATCCGTGGTGGCATGCCACACGCGAAACCACAACCATGTGGCAAAAGGCTCTTGACCTGAACAACCCAGCCTTGTGTGAGCGCGGTGCGACAAGGTAACCCAAAAAGCGAACCTTGAGAAAACCGTCTACACATGGGTGTCCCGTAGCACCAGGTGCCTGGCTTGCGTTTCAGGTTCTTACACCCCATTCCAGGCGCTCTCAAAAGAGCCGACTCACCCCTTTGAGCATCGCCCCAAATTAACACTTCGATCTGAGCGGTGCAACGCACAGCTAAAAACAATGAGTGCCCCGTAGTGGACGGCAAACCATGAACACTTACCAACTGGCATAAGGGTCTTGTGGGTCCCAGCAATGATGTTGGGGTGTAACTGTGGCTCTTTAAACATATTGTTTAGTAGCCTTGGCCTGGTTCTTTCCAAAAGCCATGTCTCGTTGCTCAAGCGACAACCTTGTTTCGACTGCCGCCTGTGGGACATTGGCAGCGATGCCAGCAATTGCTCCAAGTGGGTCAGGAGCCGGTCAGCCTCGCGCATCTGAAGCCGTTGCCCGCGCTCTCGGAGATGTGGAAGTACCTGGGTGACATACCATACATACGGAAAACAACAAAATCATTTTTCCTGGTTGGTGGGGAAAGCTGTCATACTTTAAAGTACTGCAATGAAATCCAAATGCTGGGCGGGGTCAAACAGCAGGTCCTCAAAAATGCCTTGCCGGCTAGTGGGAACACAGCCATACACATCCATATACGCAGTCATCTTCCCAAATCAACAAGACACGACTCTTGCTATTCATTGCTGCTTTTTGCATTGCCGGTTAGTGGGAGAACAACAAATAGGGAAACACGTAGTTTTGCAAGCCAACATAATTCGAATGGCTATTGTGGAAACAGTCCAAAACACGAAAAACCCGCTAAGAGGAGAGAGCCACGCATATGGGCACGCATACATATGCATATGTATGTTAGGTTGCGCTATGTTACGCTATGTGTTGTTGTGTTAGGCCACGTGCTGTCGGTCTGCCAGTGCGATGTAAGGTTCCGTACTGTAGTCATAGCGCAAGCTAGCGTGGCGCAGTGTAGTGTAATGTAGTGCATTGTGCTGTGTGTTTGTATGTGTGTGTGAATGTATGCATGTGTGTATGAATCAATGTATGTAGGCATATGTTCGCGTCCGTGCGTGTATGAGTGTGTATGTGTGTATGTATGTATGTGCCAGGAGGCGAGCCAACCACGAAGTCAGTGACAAGGCAGTCGATTGATCTTCTCGATGTAGCGCGAGGGCAGATGTATATTGCGGTGATAGCACCATTGAATAAGAGGATTGTCAACCTCTTTGGCGCCTTGTACGCAAATTCGATCTTCAAGAACTTGCGTCCGATAAGCACATCTGTTTGGTAGAAGGTCATGTACCACTATACTGGAAATTGCTTGCGGGGCTTACAAAGTAGGTTATAACTTAGGTCATAAGTTCTGTAATATAGGTTATAAGTTCGATAACGTATGAGTCCATACCGTATGAGTTAGTCGGGGTCTACTTGTGGGACTTATGTCTTGTGCGTCAAATAAGTTACAAGAACTTAGGAACTACTTAGGGTGAACTTACGTTCGCCAAAAAATGAGTACCTGTGCAGGGTCTATATAGTGTGATAGGGGCACTAAAAATATATAGTCACCCCACATAGGCTTTTCTGTGTCCCCAATGTAGAAAACTTGTCTTTGCCTCTTGCTCGCTTTTCTTTCCGCCTCTGCTTCTGGCTCTCTTTTTTGTCCCGCAGCTGCTGGCTCAAGCTTTGGCTTTGCGCAGCACAATGGCCTTGGCTTGTCTGCATGCCGTGTCACGGTGCCTCCCCGCGGCCGCGGCCGACCCGGGTGGCAGAGAGAGGCTTCTGGCATCTGCGCAGACTTCTCTGCGTGCAGAGCCGCGGGAGCGCGCAGATCTGCTGGCCGCTGAGGCATTCCTGGAAACCCCGGAAGGCGCCTTCTCTCCGGGTGAAACATGCCAGCTACAAGAGCTGCTGCGAGCGAAGCAGGCCGGGGAAAAGGATCGGCGAAGACAGAGCCAGGACTACACCAGACTGCACTTTTATTTGACAGCCGAGCATTGGGCTCGCTTGTCTGGCAGGCTTTTTTGAGAGAGAAAGCGGAGTACATCCTGGAAACTGCCACGACGGTTCTGCAGCTCTGTCTTCCGACAGAGCAGACGTTGGCAGGAGTCACCGCATATGCTCGCTTCTGGAGGGCGGGCCGTCCAGTTCTTGGCAGCTCGCCACAAGCTATGAGGTAGTCAAGTGGTGCAGAAGATGGGGAGAGCGAAGACAGGGCAGCTGCTGGCGGTCTTGCTGGTCGACTTCAAGGATCTTGCGCAGCACAAATACGCAGGCCGCGCCGCCGGCAATGTCGGGCCCAGTCATGGCTGACGTCATGGGCGCTGTCATGCGCCAGGCAGTGGGGAGTCTGTGCTCATGGGAGCGTCCGCCGGGCATCCGTGACCCCATCTATCTTGAACTTGCAAATCCTCAAGCCGCAAGGCGCGGACAACCTGGGCTTGTCGCAAGCGTCCCCCCTCAGAGCTCGTGCGCAGCGATGTGCCTGAGCCCATCGCGCGGCACCAGCAAGAGCTGGCTCTGGACACGGCGGTAGCCGCAGATAACGGCAGAGACGGCGAGCGCGGCAACGACGAGCCATCGACGAGCCCTCCCGCAGAACTGTCGGCGTCCGCCGCCGCAGACCTACTCGGTCAGGACCGGAAAGGCATGAAGCGTCCAACGGTGCGGCAGCTTGGCACTGCGTCGAAGCCGTCGAAGATCCTCAAGCGCCCCGCGGCAGCAACAAGCCGCGCAGAGTCTGCGGACACGCGCCAGAGCGAGTCGGTGTCCGGACACGTACCAGAGCGAGTCGGCGCAAGCTCAGTACTGGGGCCACACGCATAACGGGTACTACTCGCAGAAGTCGTGCATTCGATAAACTGGTGCCAAGCAGACAAGAAGTACCGCGCTTCTGGTCCGAACCACAAAGCCATCTGCAAGCAGTTGTGGCCTGCAGTGAAGAAAGGCAAGCAGCTTGACGCTTTGCAGAAGATGCTGGCCCGTCTTCTCAAGGCTCCCGCCTAGGGTTTGGCGGCGCTCTCGCCTGTCCATATCGCGCCTTTCGAACGGGGGTCGGCGCAAAACAAAAACGCACATGTGTTGTTTTGTGTCCTTTTCTTTTTTCTCGCGTCAGTCGTCGTCTGTCGGGCTCTTGCATGCACACCGCTGCATATCATGGGTGGCGCAGCCGCTGAGGCTCGAATGGCAGCCATGGCGCCCATGGAGGCGCCGGAGCAGGCGGGGTATCGGGCCGGCGTCTCGCTCTCGTATACAGACATAATGTATCTATGCAAACACAGACTATATAATACACATATATATATATATATATATCTATGTGCATGCGCACCGTCATCCGACGCGCGCGGTTTGTTTTGCCGTCACGTGACGTCGCCACGGCTGCGGCCTGGCGTCCCTCCTGCGGCTGCGGGCCAGGAGGGACTTCCATGGCTGCGGCCTGGCGCCCTTCCTGCGGCTGCGGAGGGGCTGCGCCCGCCATGGCTGCGGCCTGGAGGGCCGTGTCTGCCATGGCTGCGGCCTGGCACCCTTCCTGCGGCTGCGGCCCAGGAGGGGCTGTGCCCGCCACGGCTGTGGCCTGGCAAGACTGCGGCTTGTGCGCCATGTGCATATCTGTATATATATATATATAAATATAGACACAGTACATGCTAGCATAGACGCGGCCACATGTTAGGTAGATATTATGCATACATACCAACACAGGCACAACTTGTCTGTTGCGGCTTTTGCTTTTTCTGTCATATGTATATATATATATATATCTCTCTCTCTCTCTCTCTCTCTCTCTCTCTCTTGTTTACGTGCGCGTATCGTCTCGCTCTGCGCAGGTGCCACCTCCTGCGGGAGGAGCAGGTGCGCCTGCACAGGCAAAGAATGAGGATCAGGAAATCCCCGATCCCTAGAGGGACAAGGCCAAGGACGGAGCCAAGGAGCCGGAGCCGGCCAAGCCGCCCAAGGCGGAGGAGCCCTCCTCGTCCGAGGACACGCCGTCGCCGGCCTTGGTCAAGAACCGGGGAGCAGCTCCGAGCGGCGAGACCGCTCAACGCCGGCCTCCGCGGAGAAGGCGGCCGAGCTGCGAGACCGCTTGCTGAGGCAGCGGTCGGGCTCGGAGCGGCTGCCTGAGCCGAAGTTCCCGCCCAAGCTGCCGAAGCCGCCGGCCAAGCCGCCGCCCCCGGCGAAGGCGCACCGCCAGCGGTCCAGCGCGCCGGGCCGGCGCCCCTGCTCGCACTGCGGGCGGCAGTGGCGGACGATGCATCTGCCGGAGGGCAGCATGAGCGAAGCCAGCACTGCATCGCTTATCGGATGTGGCGGTCGGGCGCTACCGCTCATGGGCAGACACGCTGGCCGCGGCGCAGGAAGAGAGCGACCGGGCGTGGCAGGCCGCATACCTAAGAACTTCCTGCGGCGGAAATTTCTGCCGCAACGCATTGCGGCGGAAATTCCCGCGGCATTCCAGAAAATCAGCCGCAAACCAAAAAAAGCCGCAACCAAAACAACAACGACGCAACACCGTTTGCTTTCCGGGAATTTCCGCCGCATTCCCGCTGATTTCCGCCGCATTCCCGCTGATTTCCGCCGCAAATCGGGGGGTCGAAAAAACTGAAAACAAGTTCTGCCGCAATTCTAAGAAAACGCCGCAAATCAGGAAGAAATGCCGCAAATCCAAAAAGGCGCCTTTTTTGATTTGCGGCAGAAATTTCTGCCGCAACGAATCTCTAGGTATGGCCCGGACAAGTCCGAGGACCCGGGTGGGGCGCTCGCGGGAGCCGAGCCGCAAGGTGAAGCTGCTCTCGCGCGTCAAGTCGCCATCCCGAGCCTTCACGGCCACGGAGAAGCGCAGGCGGCAGAAGGAGAGAAAGCATGCGCGAGCCAGCTCCCAAAGACGAAAGAAGAAAGCCCGTGCCAGCCCAACCCCCAAGGCCCGCGGGCCGAAGAAGGGCCCAGGCGGGGGCGAGCCTCCGGACGGCTCGGGCGGACCAGGTGGCGCCAAAGGGCAGGTCCTGACCGCCCTTTTCAAGCAGGCCACGCGCACCTCGCAAAGTGAGGCTGGCAAGCCGCCACAAGCTGCGGGGCATATATATCGGCGGCGGCACGACGCCTTCCGGATGGAGAGTGAGAGGAAAAATAGGCGCGCGCAAGGGTTCGGGCAGGAGGGGGGGGGGGGAGGGGGTTTCTTTTACGGTTCTGTTTTTTTTGTTTTTTTCCGGCTCTTTGTGTTTCGGGTTATAACTCAAATTGTCCAATGTCAGCATTTGTCGGCGAGGTTTTCTTGGCACCCTAGATTCGTAACGCCCCCCAATGTCGGCGTCACGTGCCGTAGTAGTACTAGATCGTGTGGTGGTTATGCTAAAGTCTAGTAGACCTTATAACTTATAGAGGTTGTGCTAAGTTCTACCGTAAGTTAACTTGAGAGACTTACTGTAACTAACTTATAAGGTGTTTAGGTTAAGTTCCCTAAGTTCCCTAA